TGACTTTTTTGCGTCAAAAAAATGAAACTTATGAACTTTTAAGAAGCATTCGTTAGCATGTAAGAAGCATTCGTGGTACCTAGGTTGTGACACCGCAAAATGTCCGTACTTTCAAGTCCAGATAGGCTAGGCTTCAAGCTACGGACATTCTGCGGTACATGAAATTACACACATGAAATCATTGTTGTTGGCCTGATGATTCCTAGGAAATAGGCCATTTTCAGGTTTCTCAGAGACAAAACCCGGAAGACGCTGATACACATTTACATGACACTGAGCTTGTCTATACCTCCCAGATGAATTTGGTGCTGAGCAAGAGCTTTCTATTTCCTACATATCCTGTAAAATTCCACTTTAATTTTTTATACTTATAATTCTCACTAATTTCGATTTCGTCCAACTTTATGTATTAGCCCTGATGCATAAGCCATTTTTTACAGGATGCCTCGCAATAAATCTGAATTGCGAATATTATTCTTCAAGGGACTAGCAGTGGAATTTCACGCACGATATAATAAGGAGGCACATGCTATCCCTCATCTGGATCAGTGGTTCAACAAACGCGAGAATAAACGAAAAGCTACCATCAACTCCATCATTAAGTACAGCTTCTGAAAATTTTTACTGAGCTAATCACGTGCTTTTGCACCGCTTAACGCAAGTGTCGGTCACTTGCGCCTCAACAAAGCCAGCGGATCAGCGGATTTTTTTTTTTTTTTTGCGTTTGAGACGCTTCTACTAATCTCTCACAATCTTACAGCATTTCTTCCATTCATAAGAATTCGTAGCACAATATTCAGTTGACAGTTCTGTTTGTTTCAGGCAACACACGCCTAATTCTTGTTAAATATTGACAGGAGTTTCTTAACAAAGCAATATTTTAAATTTAATAAAAATTCGCCTGTCAATGCTTTTTCCCCAGAACTTTAAAAAAACATCTGCTCCTTAACAGCACCCTCACTTCCCACTTTCTAAAAAAAATCCCGGCAGTGGCAAGCTTTAGTAATATCAGTGGACTGCTTTGATCCGACAGACGAAATTTTGTGAAAGGAAGTTCGATTAACATACCATTACTCAATTCTTCGGAAGCAACTATTCTTTTATGAGAGGATTTATAGAATATGTTTAAAACCAGTCACTGAAAACAGTGAAGAAAATGAAGATTAAATTTTGATGAAAATGTAAAAAGAACCATTAAAAAATTTCTTATTTATTTCTACTAATTCAGTGGAAAAGGATTATGAGCTTCGAGTGCAAAAAGGAAGCTGAAGAAGTCCTAAGTCAATTTCAGTAACGTCCTAAATTTCAGATTCTCAAGGCGTGGCTGGGAGCCGCAATTCGTTTCGTTGAATACAATACCACTACACGATGAGAATTTTCCCTTCTCGCTTCGTGATAATACAGTGCTGGTAAGTTAGCCACAGTTTCATCCAACTTTATTATTAGTATCAAAGAATTGTTTTAAAATAATCCTATTAATTTATAAAATAAAATAAAATGTAAAATAAAATAAAATGTAATAATTTTACTAATTCATAAATTTTGCAATCCTAGTCTCCTACCTTCCTCTTTGATTCTTGTTATTTCATCCGCTGTTAATATACTTTTCTATTAAATAATTCTTTTAGCGATGGGAAATGTGCCGTCAGAACTACACATTTGCATTGGTGGATGACCTCTTCATGGTACACCGCGGTATCAAAACGATGCGTGACTTACCACGTACGAAACAACGCCAGAGGCATTCTCGGGCTCAGTTTACTGCTGCTATAAAACTTTTCAAACGACGCATGGACGAGCAGTATCCAGGAACCAAGAAGTTATGCCCAGAATTTGGAGCGTAATTCTAATTGGGTTGAAACACAATTCACAAAAAGAATTTTCTGGTCGCAAGATATTTCCTTTCGTTTTTATGCTTTTTTTTTGCATATTTATGCAAATGATAAAACGCATATTGACAAGGACTTTTCGATATGTGTGTATTTATAAGTACATATGCGTGCCCGACTTTCATCCTCACTTTCAGCTCAGTGATGCAGAAGCTAGGAAATTTGAATTTCAAGGGGACGCTCCTAGCCCACATGCGATCCAGATAGCTTAAAATCAGCGTTCACGAACACTTGGACACCTAAAACAACAAGTAATTTTTTGGCCATGAACAACTTCGGCAATCAGAAAGGTTAGGAAGCTAAAACTTTGCGTGGATGTCCTCTGCCCATGTGTGAAGAAAAGAGTTCATCATGCACGCCTATGTCATACGTACAGACGTATCAAGGCAGAAATCTAGACATTGTTGGCAAGATGCCAGCCCAAAACTAGGCTAGACTGAGTGTTCGGACTACGTGAGTATATTTGTTCTCCAAACGTGGGCATTTCCGCATAAAATAAGCTTTAGCGTACGCCTGTGTAGTTGCATGTGGCCAATGTAAAGAGATTTGTGACAAAAAGCGACTTCGCCAATCAATCGAGCTAGGTACCAGAAATTTTGCAGGCATATTTGATGTTCATGTGAGCCTAAATATTTCAAATTCAGCTTTAATGTACGCCTAGGTCCCAGGTGCGCGCAGCTGAAAGTTCATGCTGTTGACACTCAATTAAATCGGTAACCAGGGCTCAGTAAGAAGCAAAGAATTGGATCAGCTGTCCTCTGAATTTTGTTTTTTAAAAAACTCTATTTTCGGCGTTTTATATTGTTGTTATATGTGTATGCCTTCTTCATCCTCAGGTACCATTTG